AAATGAAAATATTCTAGGATGCTTTTGAGATTGTTGAAAGATTAAAAAGCTTAATTACTATAACCTATACAGATACATTAAGTATCATAATTAATGTGTATATTGACACGTGACGTAATAGTTATTTTTTTATATTTTTATTTTATACTTTTCGCGTTGGTATGGTATTAATATTTTTGATACCTCGATATTCGGTATACGCGGCACAGGACTAATATTTTTCGCGCAATATACGCAATATATTTGCCATTTTTTAAACGCAGTGCTATATATTCTTTTCCTTAATAGACATGGCCAGTAAAATGTACAGAGCCGGACGGTTTGTCTTTCATAAACGTTGACCTTCTCTCGGAACGGTTTCTCGGACATAAACACGGCGAAATAGTGTCAGAAAAGATGCATAAAAGCCTTTTCAGCGTCTTTCATGCTTCCCGCGTCACCGTGACAGTTTTAGAGCTCTGGAAAAACGCAGCGGTATAGGGTTAAGGGCCACAGGAGTGCGGTGTATCAGCGTGAGAATGTTCTCCGCACTTCGATGGTCCTCAAGGACGTCCCGTCGAGCACGAACAATTTTGGAATATGCATCGGGATCTTTCTCTCGGTGGCCGTCCTCGATTTGAAAATATTCGAGACTAGCAGCCGAAGCGTTCTCGTGACACCCGGAGAAGCATCGTGAAATGGCAACCCGTCGCTCCCGGCTCCCGATTCCAGTATTTTCAGTGCCTTTTTGCGACGACAGGAGCAATTTCTGCTCTTTTGCCAAGTGTCGTAACGTTCTCGACCTAATACAAAATAGGAGTGAGAAAACTGGCGAATCCGCGCCATTTGCACACTCAGCTGACACAATATTTTTTATTTATTGAAACGATCGGCGCCGTAATAACGTCGTATATTTCGCGAAAGTATCGTTGGCGAGGAAAGATTGGTGTGATTTTTTAATAAAATAAGACACACCTGTGACTTACTTTATATACAACTTATTTTTCATCACATAAAATATCTTCATTTTTTTTATGGCAAATAATAGTATCGCCGGGAAGAATTCGTTTGCTTTAAAAAGATGCAAATGTCGTAATTAGAAAATATGTTTCTTCAGGTGAGTGTCTTTTACAATTTTAAGTTAAAGTAGTTCAAGTTGGAGAGTTACAGAGACTAACTTCCTACATTAGCCTAATTAAATTCATGTCGTTATGAATAAAAAAAAGACGCAATTTACGGTGTTTCTATTTTACGCTCTAACATCACAATGGGAAATATCTGCCGACTGCTTTTGGAACAGCATGACGTTTCCGGTGGCAGCGTTGCAATAATGTAACTGAAATGTTAAGGTAACATCGTCGGTAGGTTCACGATTCAGCAACAGATTGAGTACACACGCGCATACTAGAATGATAACGCCGTTAAATTAATCACGTATTGTCGTCGAAACACGTTAGGGAATAATGAACGGGTGACGCGGTGAATCGAAATTGGCAACTCGAAATTACATCAAATAATGAATCGAAAGCAAAACGGTTATTTATTTTATAATAACTTATTATAATTAATCCTTTTTTTTACATCGGTTAAAACGTATTTTATACGAAATGGGAAACGAGATAACCAAATTTAATTTGCTTTCCTTATCAAATTTAATCATATTAAATTATAGAAAAAATGTAATGTAGGAGATGATTATAATTAAAAAATGCACGCAAGTTTTAATAAAAGAAAGATATGAGATATGCAGGGAGGTAATACTACCGATAACAATATTATCAATGATTTTATTTTTCATTTTTTTTTTATTACGATAGAGGGATCGAGTTTCTCTTAGATATGATTTTATTAAAGTTCTATTCTGCGACGTACTTTTTATCATCGTTGGTTTAATATTTCCAACTTAATAAATTTCTCTAAGATTACTTTACCCGACTTAAATGTCTGATATAGAACTCGATGTAGAGTCTGCAAACACAAAAATTTCTGTTTTAATTTATCTCTGTAATATTTAAGCCCAATTAGTTTCTGAAATAATTTTGATCGACAAAGCTCTCCGGAGATATTTTTTAGCAAGAGTTATGATACATGATAAATAAAAAGAATTGCAAAATGGAATTTTACTTTAATGAACATAAAATTGCAGCAATCAGCGTATATCCAATTAATCATTCATTTTTCATTAATTTATTTTTGTGTGTGTTTTACGTTGTATATTCGTTGCTCGCTCTTCACATCGAGTTAAATCGAGTGTGGCGAAAGAGCGGCGGCATATGCGCGCCATTTTCGTTCTTATATTGTACTCCACTTGTAACTTTATCGATTAACCTGTAGAGTACGTGTACGTGTAGAATACGTGTACTATATACAAACGTTATTAATTTGTGGAACACCATGTTGGGGTATCTGACGAAACAATATGAGTCACTTTAATGTTTCATATGATCGTACATTATTATTTTCACCTTTTTGTACAGATTTCTTATACCTTACTTAAATATATCATTTTAGTTTCTTTAGAATCGCCACATTTCTGGTACATTCCAAACGAGACAAAAGGAACATCTTTTTTTGTAGTAAAAAATTCTGACTTAAGGAGATATTCTGAAACTTAAAAAAAGCAATTAGTCTTTTTAAGATAAAGGTTTATTGTATTAACAATATATATAGCGCTATAATTTCTCGCAACAATAGTGCAATGTGCAACGAACGATGTGCGAATGAACGTGAAGGGATCGATTAGGAGAGTTTAGATAGGAGAAGTTTCTTCATGGTCGTAATATGATCGCGTAATAGAACGCTGAAACAATGATTGTAATCCAAACTACAAGAAAATGTAGCTTTTCGTAAGTGAGATAAAAACGTCCCGACGGGGACGATCCCAGTTGACGATCCCAGTGTATAACTTTTCTCTTTACGTATATATTTTTTCCCCCCTAAAATTATTGATCTGACAGCTATAGTTTTTTCAATATTATAGACTCAAATTGATGAAAAATTAAAGAATTATCCGGCCAAACTTCAAGAAGTGAGAAGATATAAATTTTAAAGCGTAAAAGTGAAATATCGGCAGAGTTTTATTATATTTATTATTATATTACTGTAGGCAAATTTCTATAAATATACTTAATTTATAGCATTATATATATCATTATAGATAATTAAGTATATAATAAACATATCATCTAGCGTTTTATTATAATAAAAATATTTTTTTAACAGAAATCTTCACTATGTTTAATAAACGTATTGATTTCCCATATATTGGATGAATTTTAATTTTAAATCGCGGATTTAGGTTGTGATTTTAAATTGCAAAATATTTGATGCAAAGTTTATTATTTCGCGGATTTCATAAATCCTTCTATATATGAATTTAAAACTTGAAGATATCGGACCGACCGTAGCGTCGATTCGTTAGGATAAAAATGGCTGCTTAATCCCGAAAGTTTTTTTAGTTAAAACAAATAGAACAATACCAAGCGCATATATCGATTTCCGTATATGCGTGCACCTCTATCTTTAATATGGTAACGTATGTAATGCAAGCCGAGCGAAACGTTGTTGTATGGCTGATTTAATATCAAAACTTCCACGGTATCGTCCGTGAGATCGCATATTGTATCCCGTAGTATGTTGTTCATTTATCAGTACATGTATCTATTTTCGTTTCAGAGTTACTGAATTCCTAACAAATACACGCACGTGCGCACACATACGCACATGGTATAATTCCGCAATAATGCGAAGTCAAATGTGGTTATTGAATATCGATGGGCGTTCCGCGGTTATGTGGTCATAAAGGATATACCCTAAGAAACGAGTTAATGGTCTGCATAATCGATTCACGGACGTATAATATGAAAAAGAAACTAAATATATTTTTTTGCTCAGAAATTACGAAGCTTTTGTACTTTAATGTTTTTCAGCCTATTTGTAATTATCAGTTACATCGCGCGGTGTATTATTATACACCGCGCGCGTGATATATTGCACAGATTTTTACTCGATTTTCAAGAGATTTAAATAAATCTGAAATTAATAATATTATATACTGGCTACAATAATATAATAATAGCGGCTGATAAAAGACTCATTAATATTCTCTACATGATACGTTGTTCTCTTTCTAAAAAAGTAATAATAATTTATATTAATAAGTAAATACGATATTAATACGAGATATCCCATTCTGATTGTCTCATTGGATGACCTATTACTTACAAATTAGATAGTTTCTGATTGACTTTTACACATCTGTGAAAAGTTTATGTACACACACGCGTAGAAGTTTGATCAAACTTTATCTCTAAGCTGAAAAGTTCAAAATGATGAACCGAGATGAAAATGGATTCTGAAATAAGTGATGTAATTATTATCGATGGTTGACACTATTATTTACAAATTACCCACCGACAATTCTTACGAGGTAGCGACGCGAGGATTAATTTTACGTCGCGCAGTTATAAAAATACAGCCGTATCCAACGTTAATAAAATTATTACGATTATTCGATTATTATTTTTCCTTTCTGCTGAATTTCCGTTTTTAACGAATGAGACGGCAATTAATTCCGAGCACCCACAAACACATTCTGGGTATTGAAACTGCTTTGTGCCCGAGTTAGCTGGCGACATCGCGTCTTCGTTAACTGCAGTTTGCTGCAGTGTTTGGTCGACGATATTTCTCAGTATCGCATAATCTGTAAGCTGTCGAGACTTGCAATACGAATTCCACACGTCAAGAACCGTCCTTGATCGTGTCAGTGCACGTATTTTTTCCCTCTTTGTGACTCTCTTCGCTCCTAATTTGAGATTGTAATAAGCGATGTCTTTTAAGCGACGTTTAATGTTGTGTGTTGTCTCTCCGAGTTGGTGCGATGCTCCTTTTTATCCCTGCCCGATGTCACGAACTCATATCGTCGTGCGGCGTGTGCCTGTGTACGTGTGCCCAGTTAATTAATTAATCACTGATCTTTTTCTGTTTCATGCCTCGTTTCACTGTAACGATCGGAACCGCAGAGCGCAATTAGAGTAAGTATGAACGACTTGTGTGAGTTAAAAAGCGACACTTTTAACGAACGATTCATTGTTCTATGCTGCGCTTCATTTAACTCTTCTCTTCCTATCTTCTCTTCCGATTTCTCTTCTCTAACGGATTACACTGTCCACCGATCGGCGCTACTTTAACTGCGTAAGTAGTCCCACTTCGTCGGGGAAGCTCGTACGGCTTCCCCGTCTTGCCCGTTGATGAGCATCGATGACTACTATACGCGACGCCTGTTTGTTTTGTCTGTAGTCGGCGTTTGTATTCACGACAAACTCCTCTACACTCCTCTACACTTTTCGAACTACTATCTTCTGTCTGCCTGTCTGCTATCGTACTGTCACGTGTTTCTCACAGTCTATTAGTAGTGATAGCGCTTTCTGCTCGAGGATGTCCAGATCGATCGGTGCTCGGATCACCACTGGATTTACCTCACTCTTTACTCTCGGACCGCACTGTTATTGTTCGCCTGCATAAATACACACCATGCGATACATACACGCCTGCTATCGAATAGATATGGAAGATCTTGTTTGTACGGCCAGCGACTAACAGCATTTACAGTACAAACGTTCGCTGTTACCGTTACAGGAATATACAATTTTTTAGTAGTTACTGGTCAACATCATTCAATCAATGTGTCTCAACAGTCGGGAAAAAAAATGAAAAATGTTGCATGTACGCAAATATCGTTAGCGAAATGAGATGGTATAAAATCTCGCTTGATGGCATAAAATTTCAAAATGAAAATGAAATGAAAAAATCTTGAAAAGAGTTCGCACATGTTGTAATAATTTCGTATTTTTATTATGGGTTCAGCAAGTAATCTGGGACGAAATTAATTACAAAAATTAATTACGATAAAAAGGACCAAACTTGATTTCCGCCGACGCGATTTGCTAATTACGCGTCGTCCTCTCGTGGGCTCAGAATTTTTGAATGCGACTCCGTGCATTATGCTATTTACACGTGGCAAGAGCTGATAAATACGAATATACGCCGCGGCGAAACCTTCGTTGCCACAGTATTCTCATAAAACTTAGTTCCGCGAGCGCGCGGTCCGCCATTCATCAGGCTGAATATAATGAGCCTCTCCAGCTGTGCATCCGCTCGAGTCCGTTGAATCCCGTATACATACGGTTTCTAGTTACGCGCTGTCGAGCCACGGCTGAAAACAACGTGTCGCAGACGTTTCCGTTATCGCTCGGCACGATTTACCTATTGTGCGCTCTTAACCTTTTGCAAATGCGCTTAAATGCCGCGTTCGCTTGTCGCGTTAGTTCGAATTACAAGTCCGAAGCTCTCTTGTGCGCCGGCACAAGTGTCCAGGCGGTTTGCTAAATCAAGGGAAATCCGCAAATTTCCCGTTTGCCCGGAGGTTTATTAATAAAATGGACGATATCTTATTGTAATTATCGTTCATGACGTAGTTACTGAGAATTGGCTGTAATATTGGAACAATATTGAGCAATTAGTGAGAAATCGGAATTTGCAATTAGTGATTAAACCGGAATTTCATCGCGGAAAGTCGTATTTTAAGACACGAGAACATTCGCGAGATATATATTAATTTTCGCATTTACAGCGTTATTCCATTTCTGCTATATTATGTTTTAAACGATAGACTCTTTTAGTCATTTTGAAACCAATTTGGGGGAATGTCGGGGAGATTGGTAGTGTGCGTCTTTTCGACCTTTTGACATTCTGAAATACTCCATTAGATTGAAAGTAACAACTGATAGTAATAATTATCGAATTTAATTATAATTTATAATTTTAATTTTATTTTATCTTGTACGAGACAATTTCGTTAACATATATTTTATATTTTAATTAAATGTACAAAACGAGATAAGAGAATTTTTTATTTTATGAAGATTGTGATTCAATATCTCTTTTATTCAATTTCTTGTAAATGCATGAAATACATGTACCATCTTATACTGAACTCATTCTGTATCGGAACGCAGAGACGCGGCAGCATTAATTTTTATAAAAAACCTATTTGATTAACCCTCAGCGGTATTGCCAACGATGTAGGACGAATTAACGCGCATTTCATCAATATTCATCATCAATATTAGTAAACTTTTCCGTGATTCGCCTAAACGTATCTCCCGCGGAGTATTACGTGTGGTTCTTATTTCGCATCTATATAGTTTTTCGTTTAGCATAAAAAGCATTTTGCATTCACGAGAAAGCATTTTTGTAATCAATCGTTTTGATACGCTACGACAACGACGGTCATCTAAAATTTTAAATTTATGCCGGCTGTCGCATCCATCAGGTATCTCGCGATGCACTTTTCTGTACTCTCCGTGTGCGCGCGGATTTTTTTCTCATTCTTATTTATGAGTTATGAATAAAGAATCGCGGTAAATAAGGAAGCTCGTCGATCCGGTAAAATATATCCGTTATGCATGAGAGCTGCCGTTAATCGGATAAAAGGAATTTATGCGAATGTGTATTTTTCCCTTTCGTATATCTGCAGGGATGGGCGGAGAGGGAGGAAGTTACGGTTCAGGGTTCAGCGACGGGATTAATTTCTGCGAGATGCGTAAAAAGCACGAGACTGCATTTTTTGCATTTTATACGAACAACATGGATATTGACGTTTTAAATAATTTAAATGATGTAATAGATTTGCAGATTATTTAAATGCGTACCTGCAAATTAGAGCTTATATAAAAAAGCATGCGAATGCTGTGAGTATAACAAATTTAATTGGTATAACATTAACGAAGGTATACAACGCGTTTGTTATATCTTCGGCTGTTTAGCAGAATAGTGTTTATTCGTTTCGTTGGAGTTTGATATACATATACGATATTAATTTGCATAGAGAGATCAATAGTTATTCTTTCAATGTCTTGCGTGATTTATACATCAATCATGGAGCTTGAACACATATACGATTTCTACATTTCGATATTAACAAGCGCAACTTGACGTTACTGGATGACGTAATCACCTTTCTTTTCGTTTTGTAGGGCTTGCAATTATTCATTTTTACTCTATAGAACAGACGAGACCATTAGCGTTTCTCCATATCGAGCATTTTTTTCGCCTGCATACTCGCAACGATTTTTCCTCCCTATTTTTTTTATATACGTATACATGCCGTGAATTCATTTTTCTTCTGCCGTATGGCTTCAGCCGTTCTACACAGTTATGGAAGCTCTGCAGTTGCGACTGGTAGTAAACAGCAACTATTAATAAGCCGACGACATGCTGGAAGCGTATCGGCTTGCGTGTGCCTGCGAGAGAACGCTGTCTCGATTAGCGGCATAGTGTGTTCGCAGTAGATGCGATACAGTAGTCGGAGCGATAAGATTTATCTAGATCCTAGGTCGCCTATTATGCCTAACATACGTTACAGTAACGTATCGTTGGGATGTACGCCACCGTTGATAAGCTTGTGCATGCATCACACGGGGCGAGCAAGACTCCATTCCCCCTGACTGTCAGCAAGTTCCGAATCAATCGAACGTTTCTAAAGCGTTATCTTCGGTACAGTGCAATGGCAATATTTATCTCGTTAGGCTTTTCACGCTAATTCGTTCAGCGTCATGTAAAATGAAACGCGGTGGGCAATTGTCATAAATAATTGTGGGCGACAGATTTTTAATTGTGCGAATGCGCGCAGCTCGCCTGAGTCGAGATCGAACAATCGCGCAATTACCGCTATTCGTGATTCTAGATTAATCAATTGGATATTTAATTTGATCGAATATTTAATATTCCCAAAGTGTATAAAATTATAATACAGTAATAGGAAAAACCATGCTGTGGGTATGTGAAAGCTGAAATATGTGTTTGTAGAGAATTGTACTTATAGATCAACATTTTAAAAGGAATTTTACAATGAAAAATAATGTAAAACGAGCATAAGAAACTTATTCTCTCTAATAATTACATTAAAAAATGATATGGTATAAAAGACAAGTACGTTACAATTTGAAAATTACAAGCCTTCCTGGTGATAATTATAATTAGACTTTGGGGTTTGATAAACATTGTCAAGTTTTGCTTTGGTATCTTTTCAACGCTGCCACAGACAATTCTGCGATGACGCCGCTCTGCTTGAAAAGTGAAGGGAGGCGAAAGGAGGAGAAAAGACAAAGACGTTACATCGGGGATGAATGCGGGGCGTAGACGATGTAACGTGATAAATTTTGCATTTTTTTTTCTTTTCCAGGACGACCGGTAGTCCTTCTAGCAAATCTCCAGCAGGTGGTAGCGGCGGTCCCGCGAGCGGTGCGGCAGGAGCAACAGCGGCACCAGGAAGCGGCGCCAGCAATGCCGGAAGCGCGGAACCCCGTACACCAACCACTGGGCCGCAGAACAAGCAGCTGCAGAATGTCAAAGGAGAACACCCCTCGGTAAAAC